GGTTTTGGAGATTCTCTGTTGCAAACAAACCACCAGTAGGAACAGTATGATCTGATCCTTTCCTCAATATTATCTTAGATTTGATTCTATTTTTCTTTTTAGATTATTTTAAATCTTATTAGTGGAGTTGGCATGTGCAGCATACAATATGTAACTTGCTCTTTAACTCTAAAAGGTTCTCCATAGAAGGTATCATTACGGATATTAGGATACTAATGTAATTTATTATTGTGCTTTCTCTGTTTTTTTTTTATTTTTTTTATTTTTATTTTTATTTTATTTTTAATGTCTTTGATTTTACAATGCATTGTATGAGGCAAATAGTTGATATTTACTTTTTTATCTTGCAGAACTCTGGTCAAGTTGCTCCTCTAGATGAGATTGTTAAATTGAAGGAGGAATACCGTTTCCGCCTTATGATGGATGAGAGCAACTCGTTTGGTGTGCTAGGAAGTTCTGGAAAAGGCCTCACAGAACACTTTAAAGTTCCTGTATGTTCAACACTATTGAGGTTTTAATTGTTTCTCTTATCTCCGTATAATACCTATCGTGACATGGTGTGCAGGTTGAGAAAGTCGATATCATAACAGCTGCGATGGGTCATGCGTTAGCTGCAGAAGGAGGATTCTGTACTGGAAATGCAAGAGTCATTGATCACCAGGTATGATAGATCTATTACAATATATTGTTTGGATGGCATATCTTTGTTACTTGAAGCTGTGCTTTATTGTGTGCTTGTGTATTTTCAAGTGCGATAAATATGGCTTAACAGCAGTTGATAATTTTTGTAGGTAGAAAGTTAGTGAAGAAATACTGGTCAACTACTTTTAAGAATCAATATTTAGATAAAAAGTTACAAAATTAAAATTCTGAATAAAACCTGAGCTTGTGTCCTATCCAAGTTGTATTCCATATCTTCATATTGAATTTATTCTGGGACTTGGATATCTTTAGGTAAATAGTTACTGAGAAAGACTCATCAGATCAATTTTGGTACCTAAATGCTCCCACTTATTTTATCCTACATCTTATTGTTCTTGATAATTGTCCTTGTCTCTTTTCCAAATTACATTACGAAAGTTAACATCTTTGTTGGTTAATGACTTGCAATTTGTTGGATTTGGTGTTTACTTGCAGCGCCTAAGCAGCTCTGGTTATGTTTTTTCTGCTTCTTTGCCTCCGTACCTAGCTAGTACAGCAATCTCTGCTATTGATGTCCTTGAAGAAAATCCTAATCTGATTAGAAAGTTGAAAGAAAATGTTGCACAATTAAGAGCTGGTATGTTCCTGAATTTTTGTTGCAAAAGTTATGTGCATGAGTTCTGCTCTTACCATTACGAATTGGTCTCGTGTATATATTGTTGACATTGTGATTTGGTCAATATCTATTACTGTTCACCATGTTATATTTTAGGATTTAGACAAATTGTGGGGCCTGAATTTCATGATACATATCGATTGACATGTTTTGTTCATGGTTGAATACTAAGTTGTATACCATAGTCCTGTAGAAACACTGACAACCTTCTTGGTTCCTTGGGGCTTGGGCTATCTAGTTTGTGCCATGTTTACTCTGTTTGGATAGCATCAACCTGCACTATATGTGTAATTATGTTGGAATAGGGCAAGTCAATTAGGATTCTAATAAGATTTGGAACTTTTGCCTTTCTATCTAGATAAGTGTCCAAACAAGGCAATATTTTTATTTATTTATTTATTTTTTTAAAGTAAAGGCACTGCATGATATATTGATATAAATTATTCGGACTACTTAGGGTCAAGAACAATGTAATAGGATATATTGGATGAACTAATCAATATACGAAGTATAATATAATTCCTTTCTAGTATTGAATTTTTTTTTTCTTTTCTAAAACTTGGAAGAGGGTGATTGAGAGTGATGAGTGTTTTGGGGATTGAGGAATATATGGTGTTGGATAGGGCGGTGGGGAGGGAGAAAATTCACGTCAACAACGTGTCATGATTAGATATGTATATATTTTTTTTTTATCATTCTTTTATTATTTTACAAAATTCGTGTTTTATGAACTATATTGATTTCCTTTGCTGAAGTTTTCTCAAATCTTAATGTTTTTTACTAACACATTTTTACCACTCATATAAAACTTTCTTGTTTTTTACTTGGATGCTCTTTCTTTTTCTCACTTTACACAAGGCACAACTTTTTCTACTGATTATCTTGTTATGTCCCTTTTTCTATATCTGCAATTCCTTATGAAGATTCATATTAGATTCTTAGCCGACCCCGAATTATTTTGGGACTAAGAGTTTGTTGTTGTTGCTATTGTTATTGAAAATTTTAATTAGAAATTTTTGTACTTGGTCCTTTTGGTTAGATTTTAGTGATTCAATTTTGTTGTTCACTGATATTTTGATGTCTTTATGACTTGATTCTCTGCTTTGGATGATTTTATATATACAAAACTAAAGCTTCTTACTAATGGGGTTGACTTAGTTGCAAAATATGATGTAAATCTAATATATCTAATATAAAGGGGAGTTTTTTTTCCTAGTTTTTAGAGCGCCACGTAAGATTTTATTTTTTAAAAAATTATTAGAGCGCCAATTAGGATTAATATTTTTAAAACGCTATAATCGGATTATGCCACGTAAGATTAGTTTTTTTTTTAAAGCGCTATAATAACAAACCACCACATAGGATTGATAATTTTAAAACACTATATTAGGATTATGCCACGTAAGATTAATTTTATAGCGTCACATAGATAAATCTTATATTTTATTCAATAAAAAAAAGAATTGCAATTTACTTTAGATTAAAAATTTTATATTAATTATAAAAATAACATCAGTGTGTTTTTTGTGTGACTAATCATATTGTGTGGTCGGCTGAGACACACCCAAACACTGACCGAGTAACCTCTATCAATAAAGTAACCCCTATCGATTGAATAACCCTTGACTAACCAAGTAACTAACTCCTGACTAAGTAATCCCGACCACACGGTATAACTAGCCACATATGAAACTTTGTGAAATAAAATATTATCTTTTTAGATTACGAATCTTATCTAAATATGAGAAACAAAGTTAATAATCCATTTTTTATAATAGATTTTCAAGTAAAATATATATTTAGTAAAATATTTTATTTGAAAAAATACAAACAAACCGTGCGTCGCATGGGCTTCATCTAGTTAGCCTATATTCTGCAGTTTGGGAAGTCTAGATATGAATAAGAATCTAGGGCAGAATTTGAAGTTGTGTTTGGATTTGGATATGAGGTTGACTTAAATTTACTAGGATAGCCACACCCCTAGCTTCTTGGTCTTCCATCTTTGTAATTCTTCTTGGCTTCATGAGCTACTTGGCTGTGCTAATATGATAGTTCTTTTTGTTCCAGGTTTGTCAAATTCTGAAGGATTAGTAGTTGCAAGTGACCCTCTTTCTCCCATTGTTTTTCTACAACTATCAAAATCCACAGGCTCTTCAGAAAAGGACCTGCAGTTGCTCGAAGATATCGTCGATGAGGTATACATGCCACTGAACAATTTATTTATTTATTTATTTTTATAATTATTATTTTTTTTTTTTATCATGCATAGATTTAAGATTTCTGAGCTAGTTATACTTCATGCAGCTTTTGGAGAAGCACAATATATTCGTTGTAACTTCTAAGCGGTCAACACTTGATAAATGTCCTATACCTGTTGGTATAAAACTATTTGTTTCTGCTGGGCATGGTGAACCTGATATAATGAAAGTTTGTAAAGCATTGAAGATGGTTGTACCATCAGTGCTAAATAACCCTGCTGAAAGTTTGGCTTCTGAAAATTGAAGTCAAATTGATTTCTGCTTGTGGATTCAAAGCTTAAGATATAGTTAGGAAGACCCCTATTAGAGACTCCTGCAAAAAGCTTTATCTATCTGAAATTGCTGAAGAATACATACTTGCCATTTAACAGATGTTCTCTGGAAGTAACGGAAACATGGGGTTGGTATCGCGCTGTGGAAGTTTTAGGGAAACTCGCAGTTTTGTAAACCTGAAATGCTGTGCTACTGCACCTTGATTGAGGGAAGTAGCTTCTAGTACAATGTTGGCATAACTTGTCATACTTTTGGGTTTGGCTCTTTCAGGACTGGCATGTTATGTAGATTGATTCTTCTTCTTACAGTCCAAGAAGCATGTAAGTATAGTGATTGTGTTTTAGAAAACCATCTTAATAGTCTTTAAGTTCTTGACCAATATTGTTTATTTTTTCACATTGTGTCGTTAATGTGTATAAACTATAATTCATTTTAGCGATTTGTTTATCACATAATCTTTTCTGTTTCTGGCTCATTAATACTGTTGGTGGTGAAATCTGATTTTGTCAGCAAGAGAATAGTAAATTCTTATTATTCCGGCAACACAATTTCAGAAAATGTATTGTCAAACAGAGTACGCTCATTTCTGACATTCTGAAAAGAAAATTTTAATTCGTCTAGAGTACGAGGAGAGAATGCAGATTGGAAAAACACATTGTTTTTGCACTTGTAGACTTGCAGTGATTACTTGTAGCTTGAATGTGTCAACAAATCCAAATACAAAGTATGGCAGATCCGCATTAGAGCTGAAGGAAACTGTCTTTCTTTTGGACTGAGCGGGTTAACAACCGAAAAAGAAGACAGTAAATTCTACTTCTTGCAAATTTAGAAAGTATTATTTATCACTGCGGAGAAGAAAAAAAAAATACAACCTTTATTTTTTAAGTACTTGTTCTATTTTTCCACGTGCGGAGTAGAGAGAATATAAAAGTAATAAAATTGGGACTCACTAGTTGAGAGAAATGAATTAATTATTATAAAAACTTTCCAAATAAGAAAATAGAGCAAGTATTTAAAAACGGCCGCAAATGAGGCCGCCACCACCAACATCAACATCTGATAAGCGGTGAAGAAAAATTATATGGCTATGGCTTTTTAGAGAGAAAAGAAGCAGTCTTGGGTTTATGGAACCACAAGAAATAGGCAACTAGTTTTTTTTTTTTTTTTTTTAGGCAACTCAATTACTTATACTACCTGCCAGTTCAATTTACTCGTAACAAAGGAATATTTTATGTCTGCAGACCCATTTAACATGGAAAAAATAGTTTTCTGCTGCCTCTCCATGTTTTACTGTAATGCATTTTTATTCGGGCAAAGGATTAGGTTAACTATCATTTCAGCATCTTGAGGATGGTGTCAGCAGCCATGCGGGTCAGGGCCGTCAGGCAACTAAAGAATCTACTGTCTTGAGAGACCAAAACTGACATACTATTTGGGAACTAATGATGTTGCAAAGTCTAATTTTAGCTATATATCTACATTTTGGGCACTTGAGTGACGTTTAGCTAGAGAGCAAAGGAAACGATTAAGCGACTTCTTAGCAGCAATCAATCCGGCACTCTTTTCTGCGTCTTCTTCTGTGCTATTTAGGCTTTCTTGCACACTGTGCACTTTCCGGACAAGTTTTCGCAACTCCTGCACACACGATTCACGTTACAATATTATAATAAAAAGTAACAAAACATGTACAACTACTGAAACTAAAACAAAGAAGAAACTGTTTCATTAAGTTTCCGAACATGACGCAAATTTAGCTAACAGCCTAACCGAAAGTTTAGGGCATAAGACCCACAAAAACCTGTTCAATTAGGAGATTGCAAATATTTTCAGATTATAGCAGTCATGCTCAGATTCTATCCTATGTTTCAACTTACCCAACCACTCACAAAGTCACAAGCAACCATTGACAATTATGAGAGTATTTCTAGTTCTATGTGTATATATCAATAGATTTAACTTCATAACTAGTTACACAAATATAAGTGCCTTAACAAATTTAAAATGCATGTATGTGCATCATTGTGTTAACAGGAAATAAATTTCAGATTTTTTTTTTTTCATTTTCTACTTTTGGTTTGTAAAAAGGTAGAAATAGTGTCCCAAGGATGGAGAACCTCTTCCTTTTGAAAGGAAGGAATGCCAAATTTTTCTCCTAACATCTCCTCTCATCCAACTTCTACATTTCGCTCCCATTTTTCTCTTCCTTGATAATTTTTTTTTAAAGATTCCTTAAAGAAAAGGAAAACTATTTTTACAACTGTATTTTACCTTGAAAATTTTTCCAATGGAAAATCATTTTCTTGGAAAATATTTTCTGTCAAAACAAACGAAGCCAAAGTAATAGCCCTGGGGAAAAAAAAGTACACCTCATGGTGCTGCTAACAGCTACCTGACCTTCATTTATATTACTCAGAACAGAATAACAAAAGATTGTGCCTCAACTGAGACCAGATCAGGTGAGTCACATGAGTGTTGCTATTTCCTCTCTCAGGCATATGAATTTAAGGAGTATCCCTAAATAATAAGCCACACAAGCAGAAATAATAGTATAATTCCGCAGGTGGTTTCAAAAAAAAAAAAAAAGAAAAAAAAAATAATAGTATAATCTATTCTACCTTTTGATAGATAAGTCCAGATGCAATGCACCCACCACCAGTCACCTTAGTTTACAGCAGGTGTAGCAGAAAATTGAAAGAGTCCGAGACAACGGCAGCAGGTGTAGCAGAAAATGGATATAAATTAAATTCTACCAATGTTACAGACTACAGAAAATTCTTAGTACCTACTTCTGCAACTCTATTGATGTTTTTGTTCAGTTAGTAAATATTTTTAAGAATGATTAAGTGGGGCCCAAGTGACTAGAAGACTTCCCCTAATCAGACATCTAGGGCTAGGTGATCTCATTGGTTACAGAGGAGAACCTTGAGGTGATTATCTTCTCCCAAAGCCTCATCTTAAATTGGTAAGTGGTGTTCACTTCCTAATTTTTCATAGCTAGACCACCAAGGTTTCAATCGCGAAAAGATATTCAAGAAGCATTAGATGGAAAAACAAGGATGGAGACCAGCAACAGCATAGAAGATGAAAGAGCCACAGTGATGAAGAAGAATCTCACAAGACTGATGAGAGGAAGGGAACATTACTGTGGAAGGGTATTGATGGTTGGTTTTGGAAGAAATTGCAGGGGCATAAGTTGAAAAATTTTCAGCAAGTAGCTGCCAGGAAAACATTTCCATGTTATTGCTAGCCTATTTACTTTGGTCAAATAAGCCGTAGCTCATTGATCTTTTATTTGATCTTTTGGGTTTTTCAATTCCTATTTTACCCTCTTTTCTTCTTTAATTTCACCTAAATTTTCCTTCCGGTCTTTTAATTCACTAATCTAATGATTTTAACACACTTTTACTATTTTTGGTTGTGTTTCTCGTTGTCCTTGTTTGTGTAGTGATGAAGAGAGGTAAAACTAATGAGCTTTTTTCCTCAAAAAAAAAAAAAAAAAACTAATGAGCTTTAGAAAACTTTTGACACTCCTTATGTGCAATTTGGAGGCATTTTTGTGATTAGCACGATTGCACTCAACTGCAACTGCTTGTCCAAGCCTTTACTTCACACAAATACAAGAAAAAGAGGGGAGGCAGACTACTTCGCGCAGGCATGCAAGAAGTGGCGCATCCACACCAAAACACGGCAGGGGAGTATTTCGGGCCTTGTGCGGCCGCGCAACTCCCATGGTGCGTCCACGCCTGCCCTGTAGTTCCGCGGCTTTATTTTCTAGAGTTATATCGTAATTAATTTCTATGTTTATGTAAATAGAGCGAGACCGCCAATGAGGAGAAGTAGTTAGTCTATCACACAATTCTAGGTCTAGCCTCTCTACTTTGCTTTTTTCTCTAGCTTTTTCTCCTTAGTTCATGTAATTTTGGATTGGAATCATCGAAGTTAATCAAGAAGTGAATTTCAAATATTGAAGCTCTTTTTAATCTCTATCTCAACTCTATCCTTTGTTATCTAATTGATTCAGATTGCTCCCCTATCATATTAAATAATGATTATGCTTGAATAAATCTTAATCTAGGTTGATCATCTTGATTGCTCATAATTGATCTATAGAGTATCCATGGAAATCAATTCTACTTGTATGTTGTGTTAGATGACTAGTATGATTAGTAAGTAGTAGGGGTTGGGTGAAAGCTCAACCATTCTATGAGTCAAGATCATCTAAATATCGTGGAATATGTATGGTTGGATGTGGTTTGTTAAATTGAGAGTTGTTGGTGGATATTATGACCATATGGATGCTTAGTTGCTACCTTAATCATTGAGAGATGATGCTAGATTGTAGGCTCTTGGCTTAACAATTAAGTTTGGTTTTTGATTGTTGATTTTGTAGCCTATTCATTAGCATGATATGGTGAGAGATCCCAATTATTTGTGCTTAAACTTGCTTAAAATAGAATCAAGAGATTAATCGAGTAAAAGAGTCCCCTTACTATCTCTGAATGCTATTCGGTCTTGCTTTTATATGCCTAACCAAGTTATTGTTTATGAATCCTCAAGATAAGACATGAATTGAGTACCAACTTATATGACTACGCTTGTTCCCCTTTCGTATGATTGAATTGGCTTGTACTTTGGTTGTGTTAGATCCCTTGCACCCCTAACATTTTCCCTTACTTATGACCTTCGACATTATTGTATTTGCTTAATTCTAGATCGTTGTGTAGCTATATATTAGTGATTCTACCAATTTGTCATACTTGATTGAGTTAACTTGTTGTACTTTGCTTATTTCAGTGTCCCTGTGGATTCGATCTTGTGCTTTCCAATTGCTTGTTTAGGTAGTATAGGTTGTTAAAAGTGTAGCACTGTCCAACTACCGTTTTATCACTAATCACTCGTTCGCCACGACAAACAGGCTCTAAACATTAACAATGGTAAAAATTGGAAAGATCATCTTACTTGGCGGTCAAAATCCACGCTGTCGAGAGAATAGACTTCATTACTTGTTTGGATATCCTTTCTAATAAGACCGTCAAACCATTTTCTCGCTAGCAAGACATGATCATCAGACTCCTGTAGAGATAGGAGTTGAGCAAGTTAGATCATAGAATCTTGGTAGGTTCTAAAGACTCACAAAAAATGTGTGCCATATTAATCTCATTTCTTGGGTTTCTTTAAATTTATAGATGTTCCCAAAAATACAAGATTTACTACCATCCTTCATGCATGTGACTGAGGACTCAAGCTCTTACTAAGGTATCTAAGTACAAAAATATAGCAGAAAGATTACAAGTTACCCAACAAGAAGGTAAAACATGCAGTAAGGAAAATTTAAGGAAGGATTCAAAACACTACTTTTTGGAATTTTCAATTCTAAGGAAATTTGACGCTGACAATCCTAGTTATGAACATTCTGCTTTACATGATCCCAACTTTCAAGTAGTAAAAAAATGAACCCAAAAGTAGTGGGTGTCTTCATCCCTTTTCTATCTCTCTCTCTCTCCAGACCCTACTCCATCCATCTGCTGCTCTAACCCACTCCACCACTAAACTCTGAGCACACTCCCCTTTCCCTTCATGGTCAGCTCCAAATATTATTTAAAATAACAAAACATCTCTGACTCATTGAAAAACTCACAAGCAAGTGATACAGTAACTAATGCATACTACCATTCAGCACTAAGAAGACTATCTTATTTCCATTTGACAAGAATATCACTAAACAATTTGCATTTTTTTCCCCCAATCTAGCAAACAAAATTAGCTAAGGTTGCTGAAATCAATTTAACACTATCATTTCACACAAGTTAATAAGCATTAAACATACACATTCCTAAATGTTCTTCCTAAAAAATTCCCATAGCTATACTTTTAAACTCACCCTATAATCCTATATACAATTAATCAACTATTCAGCAGCACAAAAATGACACATAAGTAAAGAACTTTAAATATTACTCACATTTAATACAACTAAAATTAAAGAGATAACAAGCACTGAAGATACATTGATCAAATCAACATTGAAAAAACTGTACAAATTAGGAAGACTGAATTTTGCAACATGAACTGATGATGATAATCAAGTGGCAACTTGGCTTAGTTAAACTTTCTTGATTGATGAATAGCAATATAATAGGGCTGATGTTTCTTTTTAATATGATAAGGGTAAAGGAGATCATGGGTTCAAAACATGGCTCAATCATTATAATTTGATAATATACCAGAGGGTGAAATTTGTTATTTGGTGTTGTGTGCTAATGATTAAATAAATTGTTCAAGGTGTCAGGGCTGCGTCCGCTGTGGTGACTTGGTGGGTAGGAAGGAGACAATGAAGGAGGAGGAAGATAGAAATCATAGGATTATAATATTTTTGACAAATGAAACTCAGTTGCCAATCATTCTAAGTTGAGGACTAGTATGAGAACAAGGCTGCCAAAGTTGAGACCATTCCTAGTTAATAAAACTTGGGTCTGTTAAGAGCAGAATGATCAAAGTTGGGACTATTGAAAACTCACTTTTACTTCAAATCTAAGTCAATAACAGAGTACCTCTTTATCTTTCTTCACACCATATTAAGTTTAAAGTCAAACATTGTGAATGCACACGGCTAGTTATCCATCATTAAGCAAATAGATGTCACTTTGTGGTTAAATATCATGGCAAATTTCATAATAATCCAATTACCCTTATCACATTAAAATCTATATCAAGAAATCAGAACAAGCTTGGATTAAAAAAATCAAAATAAGGTGAGAGACTGAGTCTACAAATGTTTGTAGTCACATGATGATTTATTAACCCTATCAACAACAGCTAGTTTGACAAAAATATTTACCAATTAAGTCAAAGAAGGTGTAGTTAATTTTCACAAATGCTTCACAGCATCCTGTGGAAGTTAAATACCTCATCTTCCTGCTCGGATTCAGATTCAGATTCATGGAGCTCCTCTTCAGGACCTTCATCAACCAATTTCGCAGAACCTGCTAAGGCCTGCAATGTAGACTGGTCGCCATCTTTGGTAGCTTGAATCAAAGCTCCAAGCAATTCGGGCTGTGCATCAGCATCCCGAAGCAATCTCCCTGCAAAACCCAGTCTGATTATCATGCATATCCATGAGAAAATACAGATTGCAATCCTTGAATATCTACTGTAATCAACCTATCAAATAATCTATCCTGTCATAATGAATAAGCACATGATACGTGACATTTTCAACACACTGCAAACTCAAGATAATAAAGCATTTTATACATCAATGCCACAAACAATTAAGTAACTTTATAAATTCGGACACATTACGCTTCCTTTCTGTATTTTAACAGAGTTAGATAACAGTTCCAGGATCCTATATAATTGAAAAGGCAATAATAGCAATTACCTATATAATTGAACTGCCTGCGCTTCCCTTCACGAACATCAGATCCTAGTCTCTGCAGCACAAATTCAAACACATTAGTACAATTTGATCCTCAAATTGATTGCGCATCCAAACACTTATATTAACTACATTAGAACATCTCCCCCACCTTAACCACCATCAAAGCCTCAAATACATCTTCCTCTAATGAAGCCGCCCTGCAAACAAATTCCACCCAAAACAACAAATAAATACACTTACATTCCTTACTTAATTACTATTACTTACAAAAACATAACACCACTTCAGCATCTGCACTAACTTTCACATAGTATAATTAATGGGAAAAAGCCTCAAAAATAATCATCAGTGCAAAATATTATAAATTCTACTCCATTCCAAGCACCAAATCAATAACAACCAAAAAAAACATAACATATCCGGCAACTAACTTAAAATTCACAATACCCACTTCATAAATCCTCATTGATCTCAATAAGCATAATAGTTAAGTCTATTTGGGTAATACCCAACGACTAAAATCAAATTCCGTCTACATCACTACATTTCATATCATGCCAGCTTAACAATACAGCAACAACAAAATAAATTATGTTCTATTCCAAACACCAAATCAATTTCACTAAAAAAAAAAAAAAAAAAAAAAAAAAAAACATATCCGGCAATCAGCTAAAAATGCACAATACCCACTTCATAAATCCACTCTTAAACTCACATTGATGTCAATTAGCTTACTAGTTAAAGTCAATTCGAGGTAATACCCGAAAGCCTTAAGATTAAATCCCGTCTACATCGCTGTCTTTCGTGCCATGCCAGCCTAATACCAACAACAACAACAAAGAAGAAAGAAGAGAAACTAAACTTGAGAATACGTTTAATTTGAGGGGTGGAGAAAGAAGCGAGGTCCATGCCCCAATGAAGAGTTTGACGGGCTTTACGCTTCATCTCGTTACGACTCCTCCTCTGCTTCTTCTTCTTATCCTCCGATGTTTCATCATCATCAGCTTCATCTTCACCGTCTGATTTATTAGTGCTTATCTTTTTGCTGCGGTTGTCTTTTAGAAGGTCGAGTTGTTGCGGAGGGCGGAGAGCGCGGGGTTTGAGGTGGGCGTTGCGGCGGTGAGAGAGGAGAGAGAGGCGGGGAGGGCCGGAGATTGCGGCGGTTTTTGTGGCGGTGATGGGTGGTTGAAGAGAGAGAAAGTGGAGTAATTGACGGTGATAAAGTGGGGTTACTGCTGCTTTTACCACCTGCGCCATTTTTGTGTGTGTGTGTGTTCATCTGTTCCTGTTTCCGGCGGAGAAGTAAGTAAATTGGAATTGGGAAATAAAAAATTTAAAAAAAAAAAAAAAAAAAAAAAGGTCAAATTTTGGAAAGAAAAAAAAAATGGCGTCGCCCGGACTCGAACCGGAGACCTTCAGTGTGTTAGACTGACGTGATAACCAACTACACCACGACACCGAATGTTGCTGAAATTATTACGAGTAGATTTGGTTTTTTTTTTTTTTTTTTGTGTGTGTGTTTAGAGAGCCACAAGAACGGGGGTGAGAATCGATCACAGGATCTCCTGGAATTGGGAGGGAAGCTTTAACCACTTGAGCCATTTTCGGTGCTAAGATAGCATCACTAAGGCTAAAATTATTGTGTGTTACATAGTTACATACTTACATCTAATTCAAGGCATGTTTACATTTATTAAACTGAAATTAAGATGAAGTGAACAAATCCTTAGATGATGTGTAATGAGTAGTTTTAACTTTTAAGGAATGTTTATAATTTCCTGCGAAGATACTGGCTGGATTCCGATATTTGGTTTCCCTGTCCTAAGGTTAAGGCAAGTACTCCTAACTTCACTAGTGTAAGCTTCCCTCGGAAATTAGTATGTCGTACTTCTTCAATAGGCTAGTACTCCATAAATTATACTTCCTCCGTTCTTTTATTATTGCACCATAAGGGTTTGGCACAAATTTTTTGGTAGTGGAAAAAAGGATGAGAGAGAAAGGTAGAAATACCAAGTTGCCCATGTGATTGTATGCACAAAACAAAATTAAGGGTTGAAAAGCAAGGGTATATTAGGTATTTATAGTGTGAACAAGTAAATTTCTTTTCCTAAAATGGATATGGTGCAATAAATGTGAAACTTCTTTAAAAGGTAAGTTGTGCAATATTAAAAAAACGGAGGAAGTATGATTATTCATATGGATTATGGAATACTTTTGAAAGACAGTACAGGTAACTATATAAATTTATAAAACTACTTCCTCCGTTTATAAATACTTGCTATATTTCTCCATGCACGGAGTTTTAAGATAAATTGGAGAAAATAATAAATTATGGAGGTAGTGGAGTAGGTGTAAGAATAACAAAAGATTGTAAAAAGCAAAAGTAGTTGAGAAAATTAGAGGATAGAGAATATGATTTATGTTGATTCCACTAGTTAAGAGAAATGAATTAAATATTGTAAAAGCTCTTCATATAAAGAAATGGAGCAAGTATTTGAAAACGACCGAAAAAGGAGAGTGGAGCAAGTATTTAAAAACGGAAAGATTTTTTTTTTTTGTTTTTGTTTAAAAAAAAGGGAAATAGTATAAATTAAGCTTATTTGAATTATTTCAAATAAAATTATGTTTTGATAGCAATATTTTATGAATTCATTAGCCTAAGTGTAGATACCCATCTGTGTCTCCCCAAAACCAAACCCAATGATGAGTACCTTTCACGTCGAATCATAATCGAATAAAGTGAAAGTGTGGAAAGTTTAGTGCTGCGGATAGTTTTAATTCTTTTCTCTTCTCTCTGTTTTTGAAAACTTATTTTAAGAAAATAGTCAATCCAGTTTGGTTGGTCCATGATAAGGATACAATAATGGTGTAGTTGGATGGGTTTTGAAAAGACCTTTCCAACGATATATTATAAGCCCAATTTCGATGAATATCAAGGAAGTTATGGCCAAAATACTAAATTGGGCCCGATTTGGTTTTTATATGCGGCCCAATGATCTAGAGAAGGGCCTATTATTAATTATCATTCCTAAAGCTATTAGGATTGATTATAGTCTTTTATAATACTCTAGAAGGTTCTTTTAAATCCTAATGGAGTTAGGATTGATAATTATGTTTTAAAGAGTTTGAAATTGAATAAAACTACTCCTTTAAGAATCCTTCTTTTGTACGAAGTGGAATATATTCAGGTTTTATTTTCGTGCCTCATAATATTTATCCAAATTTTATATGGTTGGATAGATCTTGAAATTATCTTTCCAATGATATATTATAATATTAAATCCGAGTTATAACGAAAAAGATATGAATGAGACATGAAACTTTATCCAAAACTGACACCCTTCCACTATTTTGGCCATATCTTTTTATCTAAAAAATATTTTAATCTTATTCTAATTGGTTTGGAAAGTAGACTTTAAGAGCTTTCCAACGACATATTATATGTCTTATTTGGACTTCCGGATCAAAAGATATGATAAAAACAAAAACGCGTGAATTTCTGAAATCAGCGGCTAGAACCAAGCCTGGCGCTTGGCGCCAGCCATTGGCGCCTGGTGCTAGCCATTGGCGCTTGGCGCCAATAAGCTGGTGCTGGCTCCAGCTCTGTTTTAGGTGCGCCAACTCTGTTTTGCGTGTGCCAAGTGCTCTGTTTTGATATTTTATCTTTTTGGCTGATTCCTCTATAAATAACGTATTAAAAACTCCGTTTTCATTCACCAATTCTCACGAATTCTCACCTACAATCAGTTTTCATTCGCAATCATTAATTCTCTAATCCTCTTTAATCATTCATCCATCTCTATCTTTCTCTTTCTTTTTCTAACTTTGCTTTACATACAAAATTCCGCATTCGCAAGATCTAGAAACACCTAGCCATATTCGAAGTTGCCTTCGCCCTAGACGTGAAAGGTTTAATTTCTGAGAGTTTGGTCCCAAATCTCTATTTCAATTATTTTAATTTAATTGTTTTGATTATTATTTTCCTTGAAGTTACTAACGCGTGTATTTTGTTATTAGAAAGAGGTACGAGGCATCAAAGTAAGTGCTTTAATTGATTTTATTGATTTATGATGTAGAAATCATGTTTAAATTGTTATTATGATATTCCTAGTATCATGTCTAGGGTAATTTTAATATTAAATATGATTGTTGCGATGCCTTTTATGTTCTTCCTAATACTTATGATTGTTAGTATCATGTTAGTGCTAAAGATTTGATTTTTATTGCTTAGTGACATGCTAGGATTTGTTATTAATCTTGTTAGTATCATGCCTAGGATCTTGCTATTTTTATTATGCTTTAATATTAACATGAACATGATTATGATCATAATTGTTATAATTTATGACGATTATGAATATTATTATTATTTTTATGATTATTATTATTTTAATTATGATTATAATTTTATTGTCATGATTATTATTATTTTATGATTATGTTTCTTGATACATTATTTATGATTTATTGCTTGATCACGCCTTTATGCATGTTTAAAGGGAATTGGTACTTGTAATCACGCTTAATAAGATATTAATAATCTTATTTAGGGTTAATTGTGATTATGATTTCAAGTGATCGCCAATAATAGATTTGTTTGTGCATTATATTCAACCAACATAGATTAAACAGGTTTAGGGTTAATCTTATTGATTGTATGTTAATTGAAAAGCGCACATGAATACGATCAGAATAAAGTAGAGGCCTATTATTAGGGCAGGTTCAATCTCTTTTAGGTTGGATTTGTACCTTCATCCCCGAACCCTTATTTGGTTCTAGACCTTATGGAGTTTACGATCTCTTGGATCGTTAAGGGGTGTAACCTTCATCCTATGAACAGTTTACAAGTTCCTAAAACTTGTTGGCGACTCTTTTGCTCTATCTTCTTCCCTTTTGGACGCCACCGTACTTTAGTGTATGATCACAGTGGGGTTCAAGCTAGTGGGATTAAAGCTTGAAATCTATTCCCTACACTAAGATAAGAAAATATAATTAAAGAAGTAATTTATTCGAAAGAATTATAGCAAATTAAATCTTTTTCAACCAAACAAAGATTTAATTTAATCAAATTAGTCTCTTCAAAAATAAAAAAATAAATTTTAAAAATTAAAATTAAAGTAAAAGCAACAATATTAACAAAATGATTTCGTTCGTTGTTAAATTAACTGATTTAAAAATGGCACAGTAAAATTTTTAAAACATTCTTACCATTGTATATACCCTATTTCATAGCTTGTATTCCTTGTAATATTCACACCAAACTTGGATTGCTCGGATTTTCTGATCACTAGACTATAAACCATTTTAGTATACACAAACTATTGGGTGCATCCCCCCGCAACCAACAGTTTGTGCGGCTATTATCTATGTTTCTCTATTTCACTATTCTTCTCTCTGAAAATCAGAAAAGTGAACCTTTCTCTCTCCTCTTTCTTCTTTCTTCCACCAATTTGCGATTCACTTGAAGGCAATTTGCGATTTCACACCACCAATTGTTGCGATTTGTGTTTGGAGGTGATGCCGCAATTGGGTGATTTGGGGGTGGTGCAAGAAGATCGAAGTCGAATCAATTTTTGCAATTTGCGATTTGTGGATGCAGGTGGTTGTTGTAGGGATGCGGGTTTTGGTGGCCAAAAATTAAGGGGCTGGTGGTCGATTGCACTAGTAGAAAAATATACAATGCACCGGTTCAAAACCCCCTTATGCCACCGGTTTTGAACCGGTGAGCATTTGGGGGTGGCAATAGCTTCTTTAAAAGCCACCCGTTCAAAACTGGTGGCAAAAACAAATATTTTCCCACCGGTTTGGTTTGAACCGGTGGCAAAAACCACCCCTCAAAATCCCGCCTATTTTCCCCACCGGTTTAAAAGAACCGATGGCCTTACCTCGGTGCCAATCTCCTTTTTTCACCTAGTGTTGGTTGGTGGGTGCGGTGGCTTGGGTTCTATGGTTGAAAGAGAAGGAGATGGAGTGACTTGGGTTCGGTGTTTGAAGGAGAAGGAGGGTGGCGGTTTGGTGCTGGTGATGGTTTGATGGTGGTTGGGTGCTGCTGTTGTTGGTGGCGAGAGGAGGAACGAAGGAGAAGGCTAGAGTGAGGAACAAAGTTGAAGAAGAAGGAGAATTACTTCGTCCCTAAAACAAAAGGAGAATGACGCATATAAGGCAAAGAAAATTAATATATAAGCTAATAAATATCTGGTATCAAATATCAATAAAAATTTACCAGCCAATAAAAGGAACCTATCAGAGTATCAACCAAAAAAATATATGTATATACAAGAGGAATATATAAGCCAACAAAAGGTACTTATCAGCCAAGAGACGGAATGTAACACCCCAATAATTCTCTCTTTAAACCTGTGAGTATCCTGAACAATATCCAAGAGAATTATTGATGTGCTACCGCCAAGTGTTCAAACGTTAAGGCTATATCAGAAATTAGCAACAGAAAAACTAAATCAGTTATAA